AGGCAATATAAACTGAATTTTTTTGGCATTGTTAATCAAAACAGCTATTCAATTAACCTACCACTAAGTGCACTATGTACCAGGCAGGTTCATGTATATGTTATACACTTTATCTTTATAACAACTCTTGTATGGCTATTATTCTTGCTGTCATCTTAAAACTGAGGCTCAGGGTTATTAAGTAACTTGCTCAGGTTTCAGCACTAGTAAGTAGCAGAACTGAGGTCTGGACTCAGGGTTTTCTGACTTCAACCTTTTGCACGTAGGTATTCAAATATCCCGGCTCGTGGCCCTATCACTAACACCAGGCATAAGTAAAGAGGTGGACACTGGACATCTAAGTGCAAAGAATAAGTTGTACCCTTACTTCACATTGTACATAAAAATTAATTCAAAATGTATCAAAGACCTAAATGTAAGAGCTAAAACTATAAAAACTTTTGGAAAAACCACAGGAGTAAATCCTCATGACCTTGGATTAGGCAGTAGTCTCAAGATATGACACTAAAAGCATAAGCTAATAAAACAAAAAAACTGATAAATTAGACAACAAAATTAAAAACTTTTGTAATGCAAATGAGAGCATCAAGAAAGTGAAAGACAACCTACAGAATAAGAAAAAATATCTGCAAATCGTGTATCTGATAAGGAACTCATATTCGGAATAAAGAACTCTTACAATTCTACAGTGAAAAAATAAACTCAATTAACCAATGAATAAAGACTGTGAATAGATACTTCTCCAAAAAAGATATACACATGGCTAACAAGTACATAAAAAGATGATCAATATCCTCAGTCATTAGGGAAAAGGAAATCAAAACCACAATGAGATACCACTTGAACTCACCAGGATGGGTATAATTAAAAAGACAGACAATAACAAGTGTTGGCGAGGATGTGGAGAAACAGGAATCGACTTTCATTACTAGTAGTAAAGAAAAATGGTGCAGCCACTTTAGAAAACAGTCTGGCAGTTCTCCAAACTGCTAAACAAATAGTTACCATACGACCCAGCAATTCCACTCCTAGGTTTATATTCAAGAGAAATGAAAACACATCCACGCAAAAATCTAACACAGGTGTTCACAGCACCATTATTCAACTATCCCTAAACTGATGAATGGGAAAACAAAATGTGGACTATCCATATAATGGAATATTATTTGTTAATAAAAAGGAATGGAGTAGTGATACATGCTAGAACAATAATGAATCCAAAAAACATTATGCTAGGTAAAAGAAGCCGATCACATCAGCCCACATAATATATGACTCCTTCTATACGAAATGTCCAGAAAAGGCAAACTGATGCACACAGAAGATTAATGGTTTCCAAGGGCAAGAGGGGTTGAGGTGGCAATGATTGCTGACAGGTACTGGGTTCTTTTGAGGATAAAGCAAATGTTTTAAAATTGTTATGGTGATGGCTGCACTCTGTAAATATACTAAAAACCACTGACTAGTACACTTTAGATGGGTGAAATTTATGATAGCTGAATTCTCTCAAAGAAGGTGTTAAACAAATGAACAAGGCTGACCAGTGGCCATGCGACCATGAGAATCCTGCTTTTGATCACTCACATTTCAGATACTCTCTTGACACTGTCTCCACAGCACAAACATACGAGAGTCACCTCCTTCCACCTGGGAACTGGAGGGTAAGCAAAATTAGCACACCTCCTCAGATAGCCATCTTGTTAGCGTGATTTAAACTTTTGTCATTTTTGAAATGCAGTGCTGCAATGTGCTTATGGCCTGACCTGCCCGAGGGGCCCGAGAAGCCTGCAGCCCTCCTCCTGCCTGCTGAGTGGGCAGGAAAGGGATCTAAAACTGCAAAGCAGACCGCTCACAGTAAGGCTCAGCAACTTTCCTTGCGACAAAACAAGTGCACAACACTGGGCAAAGTCGTCCTCACGTCTGAACTCCACCCCACTTTCCACCCCCAAATAGTCTGCTATTCTAGGTCAACGTACTTTAAATATAGGTGCATTATGAATCAGCTAGAGTTATATAATGATCAAGCAGGAAGGACCTTTAAAAGTATTATGTAATGGAGCACTGACTGCGGAGCCACTTACTATCTGTGTGACCTTGGGCCAGCACCTTTCTGTGTCTCAACGTCGTCATCTGAAAGATGGTAATAATAAAGGCAACTGCTTCCTAAAATTGCTGTGAAGATTAAATGAGTTGATCCATGTAAAATGTTTAGAATAGTTCCTGGAACATTATAAGTGTTAAGTTTTTTACTATCCTTATAAATATGAACTTGTAAATCTTATCTTTTTATAGAGGAAGACACTTAAAGCTCAGAACGGTAAAGTGACTGCAGATGGTAGTAATAAAGCTGGTATCAGACTTTAGGTATCTGACTCAACTCGTGTTCTACGACAGAGCCTCAGTGTATAACTGTGCATATGTAACATCCCTCGATTAACTTTTAGGGCTTGAAAGATGCAAATAATAAACATACAGTGCCCAGCACTATGTCTCACACAATATAAGTGTGAAATATTTAATCCATTCCCTTTTCACTGAAGGTTTAATCTTCTAATATCTGAAGAGAGGCTTTGACAGTAAATCTCAGAATGTCCAATGTTCTGCTGCTCAAAAGGCAGGACGGCTCAGGATGTAAAAGAAAATATAGATAAGCTCCCCCCACCCCCATTTTCCTCTGAAGGAGCACCTGAGTATGCCTAGTATATTAGGGAAAAGATACTTTTCTCTTTCTGCATTTTAGTGGTACACTCACACTGGCGATTTAGATGCTATCCTTGGGGCTTGATGTTTACAACTTTTAGTAATTGATATCTATTAGTTTAATTCAAGAGGCAAGAGCTGCTCACAAAATAACTACATTATTTAGCAAAATACAATAAATGCAGCCAAGGTAAGTTTTGAAACAATTTTACCATTTCTCTCTCTCTGAGTTTGTCATTAACGTTCACACTAGGCTCTATGGGGAGACTAACTCGCATAGGGGATGGAAGAAACAAGAATGCATTTGTTTGTCCTAGGTTATTACTGTTCCTTTCCAAAGTAAATTTATCTTCTAATGAAAGAGAACATGCTGAACTATAATTCTAAGTATAGGCAGGAAAAGTACCCAGTGGTGTGACGGGCCTCTGTGAACACTGTGCCCACAGGGTCAAGGGAACAAGTGGTGTGGTGTGCGGATGGCTGCCTCTGGCAATGACCCCTCTTCTTTAAGGCTTCCACCCTGGCATTGCTTGCAGAATTCACTTCTCTTAGTTGGAGAAGAAGAAAGCAGACTCTTTTCCAACAGAACAGATGCTACAGGCATTACATGATAAAGATTCCAAAAGATCCTTCTAGAAGAATTTTGCTTTATTGAAAGATAACACAAAAACAGCTGGGGCGTAGGGGGGGAAGCAGCATTCCAAGGCCAGACAGTAGGTACTTTCCCAAGAGACTAAATTTTTTATACAGAACAAAGAAGAGGAAAAAAACAGAGACCAAAAAAAAAAAAAGATGGGGAGATGGAAAAAGAAAGAGCATTGAGAATGAAAGAAAAAAAGTTACAAGCACATGTGATGGAAAAGGGTGATAAACCAGAAACTAAATTTTACTCAAAGGCCTAAGATCCATACATCTCGGAGCTTGGAGATACCTCAAAAGGAAAATTACCTGATCAAGCATCCTCTCTTTAGCTTGGAGTGTCAATTAGCCCCTGACATTTCCGGAGCCCAGACACCAGTTATCTGTATCTAACGTAATTGCCTGACATCAATGGAGGTCACTGGAGCAAAGGCCAGGTCTTCTAAAACAACTCTCCCTCATTCAGTCTCTACTAATGATTACAAGAAAAATAAACATAACTCGCTTCTAACCGAACTACGCACAAGGAAGAGATTCTGGATACACCCAACAGGTGCATTCATGGCTGTTCCTTGTAACCTCACCAAATCACTATGCCACCTGAGCCTCCCAGACACATCTGTCCCTAAAATACCCCAGGGCATCACCACACTACAACCTTTAAAAAACTGTCCTTTTAGGAAACATAGAAAGATTTATTTTCCTCACTCTAGGAAACAGGGGAAATATTTCTGGTCTTGAATACATTGCCATTAGAATTAAAAGTGCCTAGCTATTTCCCATAATAAAAAGTTTAATTCCAAAAAAGTGCCTACTAGTTTCCAGCATACAGAAGGCTTTTACTAAATACTGGTTGCACAAATAGGGGAAAAAAAAAAAAAAAAAAGCTTGTTCTGAATCATATTCCCAGCTGAACAATAGTCATGACCTTCTCAAGAAAAGAAAGAAGTACTTCCACAAATTGGACAGGGGGCTGGGTACTATTTTAAGCCACTCTGCTCGGCAGGGCAAGAAAACAGTCGCTAAGATTTGCGTCGATTTACTGGAAATTTCTGAGTATGTACAACAAAAAGAGATGCTCAGTAAAAAATCCAAAAACCTTGTGCAAACCTTGGAGCTCGGAAACTGTTGAGATGGAACTCTGCCTGAAACCTTTGTCTGCACGCAGGTGACTGACGGTGACAAAAGGAAAAGTGTTTGCACTGGGGACTTTGTTTGGAAAAGGACTTTTCACTTTTGGAATTCCAGGTGACTGCGGACATTCCTTTGAACCCGTCCAACCCAACTGCTGGCCAGGCGAGACCAGATCCTTCGTCAGCATTCGAGAGGCTCCCAGAGGACCCTACAGTGGAAGCCAGCGCCTCCCTCCCGCTGACACGGAGGTCAGCGTGTCTTTCAAGTCTCCCCAAATCTCGGGATTTCGTAGCTTTCCTTGAAGTGAAAGAGGCTGCGACTGCTCTCACCCAGCCCCAACAGGGGAATGTGTCCGTACAGCATGGGAGACACAGTCATGTGAGAACGGCTTTGGGGAGATAATCCTGGTCCGCACAGGTCTCTACGGTCCCCGGCGGGGCCGTGACTCCGACCCCCAGAAGGCGCGTCCCGACGCCGCCCGCCCGGCGCTCAGACAAAGGACCGGGGCGGGCGCGCCCCCCACTCACCGCTCAGATAGTTGGTCCACTTGTACAGCACCCCCTCCATGGCGCCCGCGGCCCCTCCGTGCGCGCCGCGCCGGGGCCGCTTTCCGTCGCTCGCCAGCCCTCTCACTGCCCCAGGCCCCCGGCGGCGAGGAGCACCGGCAGCAGGGACATCTCCCGGCGCTGCCGAGCCGCCCACTCGCGGCGTCCCGTCCCGCCGCGGGGACGCCCGGCGGGTCTCACATCGTCGGCCCGGAGGCGGGGTCACTGCGGCGGCCTCGGCACGAGAGGACGCGACCCGGCCGGTGCGCCTCGGCCAGGAGCCCGAGGCACTGGGTGGGCCCGACGGACGGCGGAAGCCTTCAAAGTGCCGCAGGCGAGGAGCGGGTCGCCGGCAGCGCCACCGCGCGCTGAGTCCGCGACCCGCCGGGCCCGGGGCCCGCTCGCGCATGCCCAGTGCTCCGCTCACGCGCATGTTCCCGAAATCCACTCCCGGGTTTGGCGGCGACGGCGGAGGCGGGGCTGGCCAAGCCACAGGGGCCCTCCGGGAAATCGAGTCCCGGGCGGCGAGCTTGGGAGTCAGCCTCGAGAGGGGAGGCGGGAAGCTTCTGAGACAAGTGTGGACACACTCCTGACTGTTAATGAGGCCGTGGTGGGGTCGAGTCCCACCTCCCGATGTTTGGGGGTCAACGTGGCCTCTTAGAGTGTCCCCTGGGTTCCGGTCCTCAATCGGTTTCAAGGGTGCCTAATTGATCCCACACACTCGAGGTACCCAACAATAGGGCATGCGGAGAGGATAGGAATTTCACGGTAGTGTACCGTGTGGCCAGTGTAAATGAGTGTTGTCTAAACACTAAGTCCTCGCTACTGAAATGCGCTGGCATTATCTAGGAGCTTGTCAGACTTGCAGAGCCTCGCCTCTAGTCCAGACCTCCTGAATTGAAATCTGCATTTTAACAAGATCCCCAGGGGATTCTTATGCACAAGAAAGCGTGAGAAAGTACTGTGCTAAGGATATTTGAGCAGAGGAAAATGTTAACTACAGATTAAGTGAAAAGCGCAAGTTAGGAAACAGTGTACAATGTGATCCAAATTATTTTAGGCGTTAGCCACTGAAGCATGCACCACCATATATTAGCATGATTATTTGAGGATGGCGTTATAGGCGACCTTTTTTTTCTTCTTTAGTGTAAAATAGCCGTACTTAGCAAATAACAATACAGAACACTTCGTTGTTTATCTGAAATTCAAATTTAATTCAGCTCGTGTAGTCTAAATAGAAACCCTACTTCAATGCTTTCCAGTTTCTTCCATTAGACTATAATTAGTGAACATGTATTGCTTTTGAAATTAGGTGAAAAAAATGTAAACAAAAATTTTAACTAAGATGAGCCTGTATAACTCGTAGCTGGGATTACGATTTCTTTTTTAAAGCGGAGGTTTGCACGTCCTTATCCTTGATAGAAGCTCTCACTGACCCTCTACAGTAAGAACACGTAAGTGATAAATTATTAGTAGCCATAACGTTATGCTGTGTTGTGGAATGCATTAGACCTGGTTTGAAGGCGGAGCTCAACTGCTTTGGCGCTGAATAACCTTAAGCAGGACACTTAGCCTTTCCTGGCCTAAATATACCTATCTTTTATATGGGATAAAATAACCTGCCTTAATGGCAGTGTAGTAAGGTTCACGCACAGAGACGCGCCTGTGAACCCCACTGCACTAAGTCTTTATCGTTTACACCTTTAAGTTAAAAAATAAGCAATAGCAGGAGTCTTAGTCACCTATGGTGAGAGTAAATGAGTATTTCCTGAAACCTCTACCATTTTCACCTGGCCCCAAGACTCTTCCCACCACGCTCAGTCGGGGTACTTTACAGATGTAAATCTGTCGGGGCGGTTTCCGGTTAGCTGTGCGCCCCACTCTTTTCCCAAAGTTTAAGGTTGTGGAATTCTTTAATCCGCGGGTCTCTAGGACCGCTCAGAATCGCTGCCGGGTGACTGCTGTTCAGGCGGGCTGTAAATTACATTATTGTAGCGTCACTGGCTTGAGAGGTATCTGAGGGACAGCACCTGAAGCCAATAGGAGACCATGCTTCCCAGGCGACCTTGTAGTAAGAGCCAATGGGACCCAGGTTTGAGTTTAACTCTTTAGAGGTGAGTTTGCAGTGCGTGGGAAAGTTGTCGGTAGTAAGTGTGCCACGTCTGCTAGGAAGGAAGAGTCATGAACTTGCCAGAGGCCGTTGTCCTTAAGCCTTCAACTACATTCTTAACTCTATGAGGTCCAAGGCCCTTACTTTGTTTTTGTAGGAACTTCTTTCCTGCTCCAGCAACATGAGACTTTTCTTGTGGAACTCGGCCCTGGCGCTATTGGTCTCCTCTTTGAGTGGGGCTATGATCCCTGAGCCAGAAGTGAAGATCGAAGTACTCCAGAAGCCTTTCATCTGCCATCGCAGGACCAAAGGAGGGGATTTGATGCTAGTCCACTATGAAGGCTACTTAGAAAAGGACGGCTCTTTATTTCACTCCACGTAAGTAATTATACCCCGCGAGTAAAACATTGACGAGCCCACACATCTATGCTAGCCCGCCCTCTGGCAGGAAAAAGCATGTACCAGGTTTTATCTCTTTTAAAAAAAACTGAAATATCTTATTTCCTTCTTTGGGGAAAGGAAATTGTTTAAAGCCAATCTTTGAAGGTCTTATTGGAAAAGCGGTCAGGATAAAGCTGTTGATTTTTTTTATTATAAAAATTAGAAGTAAGATTTTTGAAATACTGCAGAAATACCTAGGTGTATAATTAGGCAGTATATAGAAAAAGTTTAAAGGAATTCGCATTTCTCAAACTCCATTCCTGAGGGAAAGTGACTCAGTTCCATGTTTAATTTGGTGTAGATGAAATTTACTTAAAACTTCACAGCAATTTCATGAGCAGAATACACATTTACTTTCTTGTTGTAGGATATGCTAATGCTAGTCTATTGACTGATATAACTTTTGTTCTGACAGATGACATTTTGGTCAAGGCACAGGACCATGATATGTTTCATCATTTATTTCTTTCTGGAAATTCAAGACTTCATGGATGGGTGTGGTTATGGAAGATTAATTCAATACCTACAGTGAAGGATTATCATAAACAAAGAAATGGCAACACGCGAAAAGTTTTACAAGTGTAATGATTTCCACCTAGTGTTTTACAAGTGTAATGATTTCCAAAGTGTTTATCGAGCACTTCATGTTAGGCCTTTTGCCTGATGCTAGGAGGAAAAAAAAAATGTTGGGTTGGCTTCTCTCTATCCTCGTTCATTCATTTATCTATCCAAATATCAAACCTGGTCTGTCCTGAGGTTTTGGAGAAGTGAATGGCACTCTTCTCTGAACTCTGTTAACCCTTGCAAAAAGTTCCAAAATGATAGCTTGCCATAGAATTCTTAGCAGCCCTATCTTCTCATCAACAAGGCCAGGGCCACAGTGGACATTAAAGAATATTATGGTTTGCATTTTAAATTTCCAATTACATCTCTTTTAGAGTCAGCCTGATTTCTTTCAGATCTCAGAATCAAAAACCTATGTGGACTTTGGTGGTAGTAATGGGATGTTATTTAGCAGTTTGCTACTAAAATCCAGTACCTGATGTAGAGACTGTTGTCATGCAGCTTCTATGCAAATGGTCAGGAACTGGCTATCCAGAGAATCAGGAAGAACCATCAAATGATCAGTTTATAAAACATGTTCACCATTTCTAGAACTATAGCCTATGTGGTAACTAAATAAAGGCTTAAATCCTTTAGCTGTGACAAGAAATGTGCCAGAACAGTAGTCAGTGCTGGGTGGTAGATTGTTTCTTCCTTTTTCACTTTTTTCTTGCCTTCTCAAACTTTCTACAGTTGACATTTTGTTACTTTGATCGTGGGGGGAAATTAAGGAAAAGAGGAAATAATGGCCTTTATTTAAATTCAGTGACTGAGGTACCCATGAAACCTGTTAGAGTGACTTCTCTTTCTCACCAAGATATTCCTGAATAGAATGCTTTCCTTGTTGCACCAAATGCGAGCTAACTGGGGCTCAGACACTACTCAGCCCTCAAGGTCCACAGTAACTTGGCAGGTTGGTTTTCTTAGCTTGGCCTCCCTTCAACTCATGAGTCAACTCTTGACCATTCCCTTTTTCCTCATTCCTTGACTAGCCACTCCTCCAAGCTTCCCTGCAGGCCCAAAGTAGACCCTTTCTGAGAGAACTGGGCCAGGATCTGAGTGGGGATACAGGATTGAAGAGCAGCCTGTTCCAGCTATCAGATAGCAGCCCGTGTAACAGGAACACTTGTAGGCAGGCTGTAAGATGCTGTGCTCCGAACTCTCAGTGTCCATGTGGTTATGGACCCCTGTGTGTTGGCTGTAAATTCTCCTTAGCCTCTCATCCTCCTTCCCTAACTCACTCATCTTCCATTATTTTTCTCCCTCCTCAGCACCACAGTGACCTCCTTGGGACAGCATCACTCTGTGGTTAAGGCCTTGAATTTGAAGTTAGGTCAAATACTGGCACACTTGACCCATTTTCCTCATCTGTACATGGAGAATAATAGTACTTATCTCATATGATCCTTGTTAGAGTGAAAAGAAGCGAACCTGGTATACAGTAAATGTTCAAATAGTTGTTAATTGGTTATTATCCCCCCTGCACTTCTCGAGCTGTATCAACTGTGTGAGATTCGCATCAAGAAATATGGGCAGCGAATTGAATTACTATAAAGTTGACTTGGTTTTGTGTGCGTGTAGCTGTTTTCATTTATTTCCAAATTAAACCATTTATGGGTAGGAAAAAAAGCATCACAACAATAAAAAAAAGTCAAGTTATTAACAAGTTCTAATGTGTTTTCTTTCTGTCTCAGTCACAAACATAACAATGGTCAGCCCGTTTGGTTTACGCTGGGCATCCTGGAGGCTCTCAGAGGCTGGGACCAGGGCTTGAGGGATATGTGTGTAGGAGAGAAGAGAAAGCTCATCATTCCTCCCGCCCTGGGCTATGGAAAAGAAGGAAAAGGTAACAATAACAGTCTGTGTTTACTATAGTACTAGAGCTCTTCTCTGAATTAGGAGACAGAAGTCAATGGAACAAACTACTATGTATTTTTTTCCTTCTAGAAGAAACTAGAGGAATTGTATTTGTTTGGGAAATATAATTATATCCTGAATATCATCTGAAATGGCCCATTAAAGCCATGAGATCTAAATGGTCAACTAAGTTAACAATAAAACAAGGTTCTGGAAACTTCAGTTCCATTATAATTAACATTGTTCACCAATATGGTGGGTTTTTGTGTGTGTGTGTGTGTGTGATACAATACATAACGTAATGCTCACCATTTTAGCCATTTTTAAGCGTACAGTTCAGTGGCATCAAATACATTCACATTGTTGTAGAAACATCACTGCTTTCCATCTCCAGAACTTTTTCATCCTCCCCAAATGAAACTCGCCAATTTATTTTCACAAATTCTGGATTCTCTACAATGAGCACATGTTAGCTACATAATGAAGAAAAAAAACTTTTTGAGTAGTTATGAGAACCAGACAAAGAACTACTCTGATGTGGTAGAAGTATAGACATAATAGCATCCTTAGGTCTAAGCTTAAACTTTTACCTAGTAGGAATTCTAGCCCCAGTTTCCTGGGAAGAACATAGCTATCACAGGTGAGGCACTGTATATTCTAAAGTGGAACTTACTATATATACATCTTACCCATAGAATAGGATTTACTAATCAAATTCAATTCTCAATAATAATCTTTTAATAATAATCTTTAGAGAAGAAAATCAAGTATCTAGAAAATGTTTCTCTGATATTCAAACGTATCCTTTCACCTTTCACCTTCAAACGTATGTTTATTATCTCACCTTTAATATTTATACATATAGTATTAGTCCATTACTCTTTCTTCATACTACATTTAACTCAATTTTGCTTTATAGCAAGTAGAAATCTAAATTTGAGTTATTTCCTTTAAACTGAGCGCCATGAAACTAATTCTGCTAATATGTATTTAACACTAATTTTTAGTCCCTTAGTACCTGTTTGCATGCCTCCTTTGGAAAGATACCAGTTTTATCAACGACCTTGTGCATGCCTCTGTCTAGATCTGGAATGGTGAGCTTCTGCACACAGCGTGAGTTTTGTTCTCTTTAGCACTTACGAATGTTCTTTCTTGGAAATACATGGGATGGGGAAACTAAGAAATGTTTGTAATGTTTACCCAGACTGTATATTAAATATAGTTATACGGAAACAAGTTGAAAAAAATTGTCCATACTTCCTAGGAAAAATAATTTTTTTAAGGGCCCTGAGACTTTAGCAATGCTCTTTTCACTTTTAAATATTTTAATCTCTTTTCTCAGAAATATGTTTTAATTTCTCCCCTCTTGTGAGATTTCTTCTACATATGTATGATGTTGTGTATCTAAGGGGGTTTTTCCAAACTTTCTGAAATTGTTGAACCTTCTTGCATTGTTTTGAAAGCCTGTAAGAGAATTAGATTTTAGTAACATATATCGAGAACTTACTATTTATCAAGCATAATGCTGAGTATTTTGCATGGATTTATCTTCCTTCATCTTCCCAATAGACACAGGATGGGCAATATTGTCATCTGCATTTTACAGATGGGGAAACTGAGGCTTAGAGAGGGGCAGAAGTTGTCTGCAATCCCAGATAGTATGATACCAGAGCTCACTCAATTCTGAACTGTGTCCCAGTTGTAGTAATTGTATAATTATATATATCTCTAGGTCAGGACTTTCTGACTCAAGTTAGTAAATCACTTATATTGTAAGTAACACTTTTATTTAAGTCATTCTTGGCATGTAAATGTAATACCTTAACTATATTTGAAATTTAATACACATGCCATTAAGCGTGTATGTGTGTGTGTGTGTGTGTGTGTGTGTGTGTGTGAGAGAGAGAGAGAGAGAGAGAGAGAGAGAGAGCGAGAGACAGTATTTTTAATTATTAAGCGTGTATGTGTGTGTGTGTGTGTGTGTGTGTGTGTGTGAGAGAGAGAGAGAGAGAGAGAGAGAGAGAGAGAGAGAGAAACAATTTTTAATTGCAAAGCCAAAACAGACTGCTTTTGATCTACTAGTTTGGATTATTCCTCCTTTATTGTATTTGTTTGAATAAAATACAAGTAATTTCCATAATATGTGATAATCTTAGGCTTTTCATTTAATTCAATTAAGAGAATAGTTTGTCCAGTAACATAGTATTCTATCGTCAAAACTTTGGGACCTTTTGAATGAAACTTAACCTCCCTTTCTCTTCACGTCAGGTAAAATTCCCCCAGAGAGTACACTGATATTTAACATTGATCTCCTGGAGATTCGAAATGGACCAAGATCCCATGAATCATTCCAGGAGATGGATCTTAACGATGACTGGAAACTGTCTAAAGATGAGGTGACCTTTCCTTCCTCCTACTCTCTCTCTCTTTCAGCTCACTTTTTTAGAAATATATTTTTAAGGAAAATTTATTTTTATTTAGGTCATAAATGTTATTTATAAATCTCAAAATACCTGCGCTTTGAAAGTGAACTTCTTCATAGGAAATCATTGTTTCGGAGAGAAATATATTGAGACTTAAAAAATACCGTTTATTCTTTGGCTGTTTTCTGTCTCCCCAATGCTTCAGGCTCTCTGTATCTTGCTCTCGCCCTGAGTTTCTGAGAGCTCCATTTTTGCCAAAACAATTCCCATTTCGGAATTACCATATAAGAAACATAGGTGTCCTGAGAAATATCTCACATGGACTGTTTCTGTTTAAACCTGTGACCTGGTGTTCAATGCATTTCATAGTGATTTCTGAGCAGTTAGCAGCAAGCAACTCTCAGGCTCAGTTTCGTTCGGGTCAGCACCTGGAGAAAGGCTCCAATCTGGATTTTCCACAGCAGGAGACCTGTTTGAAACCTTTCAAAGTCCTGGTTTTGAATAAGGAAAAAGGGAGAAGTCTTCACTTTGTAATTTAGGCTTTTCCCGCCATTGCTACACATACCTGTCTGAGTCTGGCTCCTGTACGGGAAAAGTGGAGGTAGATACTTCTCCCTACATTTTTTTATCTACCCTTACTCTCCATTCTGGCTTGGCTGGTCAGAAATCAAGTCCCTTTTTATGCTTTGAACAAGTTCATTCTAATGGCCCGGCAATGATTGTCTTGAATAAGCTAAATCGTTATGAACTACTGGGTCATGCTCCACAGCTACTAAATTTGTAACACCTCAGAGTGTTGTTGCCAGTTTTAGGACTTTTTTTGACCTGAGATAAATTTTAATTCCTTTCATTAATAAAAAATCTCGAATATACAACCCATTCACATGGTTCCAAAAAATCAATCCAATTTAAAAAGATGTTTATTAAGAAGTCTTTCTCCCACCTACATTCATGTGATCCACCCCCTTCTGTAGCCAGCTTTTTTAGTTTCTAATGTATCCTTCCAGTGTTTCTTTTGCAAGTACAAACAAACATGAGTACATATTTATATTTTCTCCTTTCTTACACAAAAAGTAGCATATTATATATAAAACTTGACATCTTGCTTTATTCACATAATAGACTCTAGATTTTGCTTTAATTTCTGAGACTGGAAGGGCATGTGGCATGATCATAGCCAGGTCCACAGTATGTACTATTCCCAGACAGTTAATTAAATTTAAAAATGCCATCATTTAATCTGATTTTAAGAGAAATGTCTGGAATTCTGACCTTTGTTAGACTATATGATCTGGATAATTGAATGGATTATTAGACAGCCATCTTTCAAATGCTTAGCTTTATTTAGGCTCAGGTTGACAATGGATAGTATGCTTTCATTGGGTGTTTTTCAGATGATATAACCTTATCTTTGCCTCTGAGCAATATTCTGTGTTTCTGCTGTAGAGTATAGCAACAGTTTTTAAGGGAAAAAAATTCCTTGTAATTCTTTGACTATCATTAGATATACATCATAAAGTAGTTGTTTGATAGTTGTTACATATCATTGAATAAGCTACCAGTCCAGTCTATGACATTGATTGACTTGATGTGGATATCTTATGAATTAGAATTATTAACGAGTCTCATTATTTTGTAGGTTAAAGTGTATTTAAAGAAGGAGTTTGAAAAGCATGGTGCAGTGGTGAATGAGAGTCATCATGATGTTTTGGTGGAGGATATTTTTGATAAAGAAGATGAAGACAAAGATGGATTTATATCTGCCAGAGAATTCACATATAAACATGATGAGTTATAGAAATACAGCTGCCCATTTTATAGAGCATTCATCCTTAAAGAGAGAGCAACCATCTTTAAAGAAAGGCTTATTTTTTTTTTAACATGGTTCTGTTCTTGCTTTTTTATTTTTATATGTTTTCCTGAATATTGTCTGAAGAACCCCTTAGGGTTCCTAAGTTCCCACTTATTTCTGGTGAGTTATTGGGAAGAAAAAATTTTTTTGTCTTTGAGTAGAAGACTTCTGGACCATTTTCCACTTTCAAGTAGGAAGTCTTATGTTTTACTTGCCTACTTGTAATTTTAAAATATTGCAGCTGGGGGCATGCCCAACATCAAGCCAGGTATAGCTCAATTCAGCACTCTCTGTTTTTGCTTCCTTCTGTTTTCTCTAAATTAGATATCGAGGATGGAAAGCCTTTTGCAATAGCTCAAGGCTTACTATTTTCATGTTATAATGAAACAAGGTATCTGTAACTGCCTTTGAGTCTCTGCTTGAGGAAAGAGGAGAATGGTGGTGTCACTCTACTTGTTAACAGTTACTTCTTTACTTGAGGATATGTGCAATGCTGAAGTGATTAACAAAGTTAGTAACTTATAAATGTGTATACGTGCTGCCTAGGACTTAAGCTATATAAGGTTTGGTTCCTGATGGCTACTGGCCTATCATAATAAATAGGACCAATTGTTTATTTGTTTGTTTCTTCTTAATAAAATGTGTCAAAATATTGCAGACCAGGTAGAGTCGTATTTAGTCTGTGTTTACTTTTTAAGGCTAGTAGATTACCCTTCCTGGTTTTTTAAGTTGATAACTAGTGTATTTTACTATAATAACATTCTATCATAAAAGAAATTGGTAAACCAATCAAAATTTTACCATTTCTAGCTCATCAGGAAATAGGGCCGACCCACAGCAGCTGCTATTGAGTAAGGTCTATCCTGGTCAAAAAATTGATGATTTTATCATATTTTCTTGAATTGGCTTTATCCTTAATACTTTTAAAAAGTGTCCAGTCTTCATTTACTGAGAAGAGTCCTTTATCGTTTACAAAGTGATGTCAGATTCACCATTAACTTTGATTCTTATTGGTCAGAAGCCTATGAAAAAAAGCTGGTGCATCTTGATGAACCTATTTTATAGGTGAGAGAATTGTCATTCAAAGAGATTGATTGTTGGGACCAAGATCAACAGCTAATAAATGGAGCCAGATTTCAGTCCCTGAGTCCAATATCTTTTTACTGCCCTCTACAATTGAAAAGTAAAATTTTTCTTTGAATTCATTGAGTCTTATTTTCTCTTCAATTTACTCTCCTCGCAGTCAACTCTGTTTTTTGTGTCTGCATCCTTATCCTTTGAAGACTCTTTACTGTCTATTTTTGGTGCCTTAGACTTCTCCCCATGATCCAGAAATGGCCCTGGTTTCATTGAATAATCTTGGGGTTGGCACCGAATTACTTCAAAAACCCTGTGAGGTTTCTAGTGTGTGTCTTAGTCCTTTCATTCCTATTTACCTCTGGATTTTAAAAAGTGAATTATGAACAGTTATTACATCATATATAGACTACTTTCACCAATTATATATTGACATTTTCCTCACTAAAACAACGTTCTTGGGAAGAACATATATAGCACCTTTACTGATGAAATCAGCTATCTCTTGAAAACTCTTAAGTTATCACTGCTGATTTTCTCAACCTGGTGGAGTTAGAAGTCACAATACAGAAAGCCTTATGCTGAATGATGAGGGGAAAGGAAGTCGCTTGTCATATGGTGCTACTCTGTATAAACTTTACTGACGATGCTATCTATGGTGCAGCATGAAAAGTAAAAAGAATTTTGATTATTTAGGCAGCGTATTTCTTTATCTCATGTGAATTCATATCAATTCCCATCTAAACATTTAGACACAAGTATAGAATGAAAACATGTGACTAGGTTATGGTTGTTTTTAAGTTATCTGCCTTTTTGATTTTGTTTTCCCTTTGCACCTTGTCATTTGTGGGAATAATCAGACATGAACTGTGACTTCACTTGTATATAATTTGACTCACTAATACTGCTAGATGTGTCATATTTAAATTTATAGAACTATGTTGTGTTATTTTCAAAATAAAGTTTATTTGGGAAATAATTTGTTTTGTGAAAAATTCTTTCACACCAATTTCTTCAGCAGCTTTATTGATTTCTCAACTGTTATTCTAGGTTTCATATCAAAATTAAGTGAGGAAGATGGACAGACGGGGGAGAGGTAGAGTGGCACTTTGAATGTGTCTCTGATTACCTTTTTTGTTTAGGTAGGATTGTAAGGAAAGCTGTGATTTGATTTAAATTGATTTTGAAATAAGCGTTAAACCTTGAGCAATGAGAGCAATACTTAATAGTGAATTTTTGATACTGGAGAAAGTGTATGTGGTTTTTGTTTTGCTTTGTTTTTTGGTGGTAGTTGTCACTGTTTTGGTTTGTAATTTTGTGTGTCACAGGTGAACATCATGATGATTAATGTCTACTGAGTAAATTAGTGCTATAAAATACCTTATGTAATTAAATGAAATGCTGGGGTGCCATGAAAATAAGAAATAATGATTTCTGATTTAGATGGGCAACTAGTTATTTGAATTTTTCCTTGTGGAAATGAATTTGTGCTCATCTTAATCATGATATCAGATATTACTTAACATCTGTAATGCTATTTGGGACATCAGCATGCTATCTTTCCATACTAAATTGAATATGTGGGTAATTTCTCAGTGTTTACAAATTGTAAGAAAAGAGAAAAGAACTTGGTAAATGTTATGGAAAGAAATAAATTTCTCACCTTTTTGTTAAAAAGCAAATTATCATTGTATTAATCCTACCAGAAAAAATAAAAGAGCCTCAGACTTACCCAAAATTATTGTTCTATGTTATTTTTTCCAGAATTATCCTTAACCCACCCTTGTAGAATATACAGTCAAGAGATTTTTAGAAAAAATAAAACTATTATGTTAAAAATATAGATGTATATATGTATGTGCATATATATATATGTGTGTGTATATATACACATATAAAGTTTTGTACTTAAGATAGTCATTGAAATGCTCTCTAATACATAATTTTCCTCTCTGAAAACTTGTCTTTACTGTGCAGTTAAACTTTACTCTTGTTCATTTGGAGTCATTCTGTATTTTGCCGACATTTCTGTGTTTCACTTAAACAATTCAGGTAAAATTTCCTAGTAGTTCTCTATGTAAAACCAACAATAATTGTTTTTGCCCCTTCAGCTTGCGGTTTAGCAAAGGAATTAAGTGGCTCATTTTGATATAGTACATTGATTATTGTTAAGGAACAGGATAAAAGCAGTTGGAAGATTCCAGAAAATCTGCAACACTAGCACACTGGATTCTTTTGTTTTCAAGTTCTTTGTGTTCCTGTACCGCTAATAAAGCCTCTGGGATAAAATAGATGACTTTAGTGAGAATGAGTCAGCCCACAATTTGCAAGGCCCATCTAAGTGCCTATGAGCTAGACTAACATCCATTTTTATTTTATGACCAAAAAACAAATGATATGAGATGTTTGCTGAGGTTTACTCTAAAAATTCAGAGTAAAGTGACAGCTGTTCCCTTGGTCTCTAGTAACAGCTGAATTATATCCCACTTGGGAATTTCTGGGAATTTATAAGTCACTTCATTAATTTAGAATTCCACACTAGGATAAAGAGAATTTCCTCTTCAGCAAACAGTTGCAATAAAAACAGTTCCACACACAATGCAAATTGAGGTGGCGAGGGACAATTTTCATTAATATAAAGAATGAAGTAAGGGTCAGGAGACCCTTTGGGGCTTAAGTCTGATTTCTTATCATTCATCTGTTGGACTTACTGTGGCATACTGCATTTTATGTTAATATAACTGAATCTAATTTTTACCTCTGGTTAGAAACTAGGAACATTATAACATTCACCCACATATTGGTTGGTGGTTCCTTCCTGTTGTGATTATATCTCCTGGAATTGCTATGTAGCTATTTTGTGCAGAATATGCTCTGTTTGAGACATTCTAGATTTTTAAAAAACAGTTCTTAAATTTGTAACTAAATTCAATGAAATGGGTAATTATACTTGTGTAGAATAACCACAGAGAAAAGTGGAGATTTCCCTTAAAATAAGAGACAGCATTTTACTTATAGAAAAATACAGAATTTTAAAAGGATCATACAATAAAATTCCTACTGGAATTACCCGAGTTCTCCACAGCAGCATAATTGTTCTCTGCTGCCTTCTTCATACCGATGTTCCTTGACGCTGCTCACCTAAGTTTTTCCTTGCTTTATTTTGGCTAAATTTTATAAGGCATAGAATCTTTTATAAAATGTCATGTCCTTTTTTTTTTTTTTTTTGCCTCATGCAGTAGTATTCAAGGTTTTTCTGTTTTGAATCATAATCTTTAAAGAAAATTAAGCAGCCTACTAAAGTGAATCGATTCTTACATTAATACTGAATAATAAATCAACTCCACTCCTTGGATTTTTTCCCTAACATTTTACTTCTATGACAACAATTCTTCAAAACTCTTTTAACTCTATCATTTAATTTTTTTCCTCTGAGCTGGGCAATGTTCAAATGTTTTCTAATATTTCTTTTTCCAGGTGCAGTATTTTTTAAATAAAATTAATATATAGTACTATGTTTTGTTTTTACAGTTCGATAAGTTTTAGCATATTCACAGAGTTTTGCAGCCATCACCATAATTTTGGACATTTTTATCACCTCCACCCTCAAAAAACCCCATACCCATTAGCAGTGATTCCCCGCCTTCCCCCAGCTCCCTAAGCAACCGCTAATCTACTTTCTCTATTTACTTCCCTATTCTAGAAATTTTTAATAATCCTTAAAACTCAATCCTTTCTTTATGCTCAGGGTAAAGAAAAACCAATTATCTGAGAAATTCATATGACAGTAAAATAATTTCTGCTTTCATTTTTTTCAAAATATATAATAGCTGCTTTTTGAAATTTAAGTGAATTAGACATAGATTCCAGCTCATAGATTTCACATATATAAATCATATATGTGAAAAGGCAAATCCTTTGCACATGTAAAAGCTAGAACCAATGATATAAGCGATATAATAAGAGTAGTAAAAACCTAGAACTTGGTTTATTATTAAGGGTAGAAAGTCATTGGAAAAGAGAGTAAAGAATAATCAGGAATTTTAAAATTGAAATATCTTCATATATCTAGATTATTCCCAATTCTCTGAAAGTCAGGTAATTAATCCAATAGGAAATAAAATAATACTGGTTTTCTGGTCTTTCATAGAAAACAGAAGAGCACCCAAAACAAAATTCTCTTTCTCTAGAGTCAGAAATTTTATACATTCTCTCAGTAGGCAGAGTCATTGTTTATTCTCTCATATGAAGGAAATCTTTTAATTGAACGCAAAATTTCTAAGGCAATTTAGACACACTTTGTTACTTCTTTCAAGAATCGGAAAATGACTAATAGTAACTTGTGTTTAAAGTCATATATTATCTCATGTGAGCAGTAGTGTTAAAGTTGCAGATATAACAGGCTCAATTTTTGCAATTCTCAATTAGCTTTCATCTATTAAAAGGTGCCCCAGGTGTCACAAAATATTATAAATCAGTCCTGTTTTAAAACTACATAGCATGAGGTATGTAGTTTTTCCACACGCGTAAACTTCAAAAACATCTGCGAGGACGGATTACGTTGAAACTCCCAAGTCTGATCATAGAATCTTCTAGTCTGTTCTTTGATGTCACAAGATGAACTCTCAGAAAACTCCCTTTAAATGATCTGTACAGTTGACTAAAGCCATGAATGACCCCTAAAGGCGAGGCAGTGAATGTGATGCACGCATAATAATTTGTTTCTAAATCTAGGTTCAAAATGTTCTTGAACTGCTACCTTATTTAAAGTTAAATGGGAGCCATTCATTGAAATGACACATGTGAATAATTGAATTTAGAAACCCATCTCCTAATTATAATGAATAGGATTTTACAGCTTTTGACAAAATACAATTTATGGTTTTCTAAATCACATATCCAAAGGGCTTGATGGATCATTTAAATTCTAAAAATAATTTGAAAATAGATTTTAATATTTATAATCTCTCTGTGTGGTCTATACTTAATATGGGCAGTAATTCTGTACATTGATTTGAGGGCATTCTAAAGATTTGTTTCTATGGTAACTAAATTCGGAAAACTAACCTCGACATGGTTGTCATAGGATTAAGGCAGGTGTCTGACAAACCTCATAGTGCTTTTCTTTTTCATCTTTCCATGGCTTTTCTGTCAGCTCTTTTCTTTGGTTCTCATAAGATTACACACAAGGCAATTACACAGACATTCTTACACATCCATGAGTGTCTCATTCACATAATATTGTCTGTCATTCAGCCCCATGAGATTTGCCCAATAACAGATCTTTTCCCTCCTGTTACAATTTTACTCTAGAAGAAGCACTAGGTGAAAAACACCTCTGTATGCAATGTGCTAAAGGCATATACTTCAAGCTCCTCAAAAATTACCGCATAGGGTTCTTTAGACAATAACATTGGTTAGAAGAAAAGGCAAAATTTTCATCAATAGCATTTTTAAAAGGTCCAGATTTGGGTAACTCTCATTTATGATCATGTTTTAAATTTGTTTACATTTCCCAATATGCTAGATCAGTGTATTTATCTATGTATAACTCTTACGTTACCCTGACAGTAACATATAATATATACATATATTACTTCCATACTTAATTTTCTAGCTTGCCTCCGAATTCTTGAGAGGAGAAACTATGATATGCCTTTTTCGTCTTTGTAGCAATAGTGTAATTTCTAGTACAGGTGTTTGATAAATGTTTCCTGTTAAATCAGTATACTGAAGAAGTTCTATAAGTGAACTATACTTTGTAGTTCTTAAAATAATAGGTCTAGTTGAGTCTGTCTCAGGACACTTGGTTCCAAGCTTTCTACTAGGAGGTAATTCCTAAACCATATGTGGCAAAAAGAAGGGAAACAAAACAGAGCCCCATTGTCTTGTGGGTTGAAGAAACAGAGATCAGAATACGTGGGGCAGAGCTCTGGAGAAGAGGAAACTAAACGGTAAAGAACTTCAGATATTCGTATGAGGGTTTCCTTGGGGCCTCGACTGAATCTGTGCATGTGTGTGATAAAAATCCACGACGCTGGGCAAACAACCGAGGAGAGAACTACCGGGGAGCTATACACTAAACGATTCCCAGAATTCATACAAAACCAGGAATTGTTCAAGTTCCAGCCAGAATCACCTTATCGATTACACGGAACATTCCTTAGAACCCTTAGGTGAGTCACACCTTACTTAGTAGGAGGGCTACGTAGCCACAGAATTAGAGCTACCCTAGAGTGGTCCTAAATAGTTTATAAACAAGCCTCAAATGGGTCAAACTGATTCTTAAGTAACTGACTGCCAAAATCCATGGTCTGGCATCCAATGACCAATTACAAGAAACAAGGAAGCAGAGCATACATCGATAAATAAGAATGGATTGAAAAACAACAGAAATGATGGAAATAGCATACAGGAACTTTAAAACAGCTATTAGAAAATAAATATGATCAGAGATTTAAAGGAAAACATACAATATAAGAAATGAATGATATAAAAAGAACCAAGTAGAACTTCAAGAGATGAAAAATAAGATATCTGATATAAAAATTCTGCCACTGGAATCAACAGCAGATTAGAGACTTCAGAGGCAAGAAAACTTGAAGAAATACCAAAAGAAATTAGTCAAAATAAAGCACAGAGAGTAAAGAGTCTAGCAGGGTGGGGGAAGGACCGCATTTCTTGACCTGTGGGACAATATCAAGTGGTCTAATAAATGTGTAATTGGAGTGTCTAAATTTAGGAGAGGCTGGGTATATAGGTAAAATGAAGAAATAATGGCCATTTTTTGGTAATATATATACATATATATGTGTGTA